CTGAGATAATTATAGGAGAATTCTACGAAGCAGAGGCAAAGCATTCAAGCTGTGGAGCACATGATATCAGCGTAATACAATAGATTCCGAGTAAGCTAAAACGTAAGTTAAACAAGAACTACTACCCACAGTCAAATGAACGCTGTCTGCATAAAGTTCAGCAACAACCTGCACCACTAGAAATGTGTGAATCGGAAATTGCCATACGTTGCCCTAGAAACCCTTCCTTAAACAGCTGGGACGAAGATAAATTATAGCCTGAACCTTGTTTCTGTCCGCTTGATTGAAGAATTGAACACTGGTTGCAAGAACTCACATCAGGCTGTTCAGCGAACAATGTTGCAGTAAGGTCTGTCGAAGACCATATTGTCTCGCCAGCGCATTCTTCCGCTATCGACTGAAGATGTAGCAGTTGAAAGAAGAATCGCTTGAAGAAGAATATGACTGGTTGCAATTTAACCTCATTAAGACGAGCAGAATGTCGAATGAGTGTTGTCTAGAGAAATGTGTCTACACTAGCGAGGAATTCGACATTCTGTTTGTCTTAAAGAGGTTAGATAGCTACAAGTCACATTCTTCTTCAAGCGATTCTTCTTTCAATCGCTATTGACTAAAAATCTAGCGATGTATATCTACTTACTCATTTTAAAGTTAGAACGTAAACAATGTTGAGACAGAATAAAGAGAAAAAGCACAACTTACGTACAACAATAATCGCTTACGGCGAAGAAAACAACATATGTAACAAGGTGGCGACCGCACCAAGAAACATGAATAAAATAGACATGCAACGATGTTTGTAGTAGCAAAGTACCGCAGTAGTTTACAATTCAAACCTAAAGAATGACAGAGAACCCGGTACCTCCGGAATTGAAACAGAAGCAAACAAGAAGACGGCCAGAACAAAAACAAAGAAAAAACAAAGGAAGACAAGCATGGAACAATGGAAAATCAATTTAATAATAGAACACAGCCGAAAACATAAAAGGGATAACCAAATGGCCACAAATACATACGAAATAGGCTGAAGGCCTCATGGAATAGCGCACTTGGAATTGGAATCGCCGACGTTACGGAAACCTCAACACCGGCATTGAAACAGGCCATCTATTAAAACGTCATGCTTATTGTTCGATTTTCATGCGGCTATTTCTGACTGGACAATATCAGCATTGAATTTAGCGTATTTCCGTCTTAGCGGGGAAGGAACGAAATATCGACGAATAACGATAAACTCTAAAATTATACCTGTGAATCGGAATGTTTCTACAGTAATGTAAATTCATCCTTTGCCGCTAATTTTTTACAGAATTAGCTGTATAAATGGAACGGGTCGATTGTATTATGTATGATATTTGCGATCATATTTCCTCTCAGCTATTTATTCCAAGGTTATTTTACGTAGCTTGTTTTGATATTTAGCTCGATGGTAGTCGGTTCAATGGATACGTTTGAAATTTTGATCGCCACCGATATTCATATCGGTTTTGCTGAGAAGGACCCGGTTCGACGAGATGATTCAATAAACACATTTGAGGAGGTGTTGCAGATCGCGCAGAAACGGAATGTTGACTTGGTTTTGCTTGGCGGTGACTTGTTCCACGAAAGCAAGCCTTCTAGGTACTGTTTGTATCGGTGTATGGAGTTGTTGCGGAAGTACTGTCTCAGTGACCGACCGGTGTGCTTCGAGTTGGTCAGTGAGAATGAGGCAAGCTTTGCGCATTCTGCATTTGCACACGTCAACTATGAAGACTCGAATCTTAATGTCGGTTTGCCAGTGTTCACTATCCACGGTAACCACGATGACATCGGTAGCAACGGTCTCGGAGCCATGGACCTGTTGCACGTCTCCGGTCTGGTCAACTACTTTGGGAAGAATACGACAATGGAAAATGTGACGATTTCGCCTCTCTTGCTGCGGAAGGGAAATACAACACTGGCACTGTACGGTCTTGGCGCCATGAAGGACGATCGTCTTCACCGTCTGTTCCTCGACCATAAAGTCAGCTTCTCTAAGCTCCAAGAAGGAAGCTCTATCGGTCTTTGCTTCAGCATGATGGTCATCCACCAGAACCGCGCTCGTCACAACGTTTGTAACTGGATTCCAGAATCTATGCTACCTGATTTCCTGGATTTAGTAGTTTGGGGCCATGAACACCCGTGCTTGATCGGTAAGCGATGGGTTTGCCGATGTAACAAAAGTTTCATTATTGATACATACATAAGTATGCATCTTCTACCCTATACACATGCAGAAACATTAAACAGTTATTAAGACATTGCCTGAATGAATGCTGTTCCTTTGATTTTTGAAACTGGCTGTATTTTCTTTGTAACATTTTAACCTTACAATTCTCGGCCAGCAAATGAACAAATCTTCAGACTGTTGATTCACGATTGAAGGTCAATTGAAATAAAGACTTAATAGACCAGATCCAAGAAACAAAGATAATTTTAATAAGTCGATATTTGTTTTGTAAACGAACTACGATCTTCTGTTTTTCACTGAATTGTTTCATCATGACAATTGCACACTTGGAATATACAGTAAGTGACAGCAGACAATGTTTTGATCAGATAGTGGAAGGAAATTGCTTGCTTACCACTTTCATTTGCGAACATCTTCGTATTCGTCGAAACGGCAACTTAAACAAATATTAATCGTTCATTCCCTCCAGACTCGGGTTATCTCAAGCCGAAGCTTAGACGTTGGAACGTTGGAGTCACTGTCGTAAGCCTCTGCATCCGCAACCTGAAAAGATCACCATCATCTTCTTCCATCGCCGCTGCTCCTTTCCGGTCGCGAGGCAGACACGTCAGAACAGAGCTTCCAACGTTCCCGATTCTGTGCAAGAGTCTGAGCTTCGGCAAAAGACAAATGGCGTCTGGAACAGATTCCTTCCATATATTTGCACCAGGTTGATCTTGGCCGTCCCCTGGGCCTTCTGCCGGTCGGATTCGCAAGGAACAGTTACTTAGCCTTCCTTTCTGGAGGCATTCGCAACACATGCCCAAGCCATTGCAGCTGTGACTTCTCA